CCTACTCATAGGGGCTGATCACTGCGAATGCACTTTTTCATTCCAGAAACATGAGGCGCAACGCAATGCATTTTATGTTGACAAGAAAAAAAGGAGTGCGGTGCTCTTTTGTATGTCACTATACGTAACGTAACAATTAAATTAGCTGGTCTATTGTGCACGAGTGTTGCTATCAATGTTGTCATAATTGAAATTTTTTTTTATAACATTATGATATTCAAAATTTGTAAAGTCATACAACTTTGGATGACTTGAAAAGCGACCACAAGTCTCTCCTCCATCATTAAAAAGTTCACCATAGTCATCTTGACAACACACTGCTGTCACCTCAAAGGAAACCCCGCCTCTTCTTTCATTTGGTTGAAGAATAAAAAAGATGCGACTGAGGTAACATGCTTTTTCCTCTGGAGCGCACAAAGCGCGCAATGGCAAAAAGCGAGGCGCGCAGTGCATAATCAATAACCTGAGTTTTCATTTCATGCAGAGCATAAATATGTTTTATTTATTTTATTAATTAAATAACTATTTATAAAGATAAATTATCAAAGCGACACAATCTAAGCACTTTTCAAACCTTGAAAATAGGCTATAGATTACATTAAAATGAAAACATTTTCAAAGATTTCCAGCACCCGGCAAATGCGCTTGAGTACTTATTAAAATAATTTTACAGACGGCAAAATAAGAATAAAATCTTGATATTGATCTAAGCTTTAACTACATTATAGGAGTATTATATTTGTTAGAAAATTGATAGGACATGCAGCTGTAAATATTTCATTCAATATCTTACACAATCGGTTATAAACTACAGCCTTAAAATATAAACATTATAGTCATCCATTGCACATGCCTACAACCAATGGCTATTTTTCTATGCTTGTTTAATATAGCCTACACAAAACTTTTTATAATATATATATATATATATATATATATATATATATATATATATATATATATATATATATATATATGTATATAGGGCAGTTTTTGGGACATAAAATTCTTTGAAAAAATTTAATAAATTAATTCACCACAATCTGTGAAACTACACTTGTTTGAACCTCAGACTAGGCATAGGATGACAACCAGTTTGAAGGTTTACCACGGTTTGGAAAAGACAAGGTTTTAAAACTGCTTTTTTTTTGTTATACCATTCCCAAGGTATACATTTTTTGTTTACAATTATTTTGTTTATTTTCTTAGGGCAACAGAGTCTCCAGCAAAAAAGGACCCTCCACATGAAAAACTACTGAACAGCCCATGATTCAGCAAACATCCACAAATCTCTTTTACATCAGCCTATAGATCAACTAGACCTGAAGAGTGCAGTGGATTACTTTATCTCCACAGAAAAGAAAGATATCCAAAGACACCTTTTCAAGTTTAAAGAAATCTGTTTTAGAAACTAATAAAGATAACAGAAGTTAATGGTTTATTTCAATTATTTAGCCTGACATGTTTACTGTTCAAAAGATAATGTGTTCAATACTGTGTTTTGTTTTCTTACCCAGACAATTAAAAGCAACATATTTTAAAGCAATACCGTGAAATCTTTATCTAAGGTTATAAAACTGTCAGAATCTTATACAAGCCCATGCCTACCTCGGACCGCCAGAACAGACTCAAATTGAGACGTAAAAAACACATTTGTTGAATAACAAAAATATCCTTAAATGACATAGTAATTCTGCTAAACATCATAAACCTCAATGCTTAATTCTGAGGTAATGACACGCAGTGTAAACACACACTGCAACCGCAGAAAAATACTAAGCTAAACTCCTTACGCTTACCAAACATACACACACACATGCACAAACAGATACTTAACTGCGGCACTTGCGCCGCAGGGACATCCAGCGCACTATCCAGGTGACAGTTTTCTGCAACCAGGAGGCCTTCATCGAGACTGGGAATAGATCAAGATGACAGCTAGCTTTCCCTGACTTCAGTTGTTGTCGATAAACAAACACACCCACACACTCTTTCTCTCTTGTCTCTGCTAGCCTATAGTCGGCCCTGTATCTAAGAGATTAGTTGGGGATTTCTACTTAACCTAAAAAGATCAGTGACAGGGTGTTAAAGGACGTGACACATTCAGCCAATGAAATTAAGACAATAACTTTGACAGTTGGCCATCACCTCTGGCCTCAAGAACTGTAAGTAGACGGTCTTCACGTTATAACTGGCACTCTTCTTGTCACACTGATCGATTGTTAAGTAAGATGAACTGAATGACACAGATTTAGGCTTATTAAGCATTGTGTTTCAGGAACAGCAGGCGATGCGAGTAATCAGATATTTATCACTTGGGTTTAAGCTTATGCACGATTGTGAGTCATGTTCAAACATGTACAGTGAGTGGTTTAGCAAAAGGACGACCAATGGAGAGCATCTCGATAACAGAGAACTTAAGAACTTGGAGAACTTCCTCAAATTAATTTGAAAAAAAGCCTAAAAAGCTACTTGAGAAAATAAAAATCTATTGTTTGATATTAAAAATTATTTAAAACAGCTTAAAATATAAATACTTGTTTAAAAAAAGTCTAAAACTTCAATAATAACAAAAGAAAACATGTTTTTAACTGACGTACAATAGTGACAAAAAGTCTAAATGTGTAAAAATAGAAAAATCAAAATGGGAAATCTATACATCACTAATAATACATACAATTCAGATTAGTATCACTAAATCAGCAGCCCCTTCATACATACCTAGACGCAGTTTACAGAAACTCTTCACTTATTCACCTTATTTTCAGCTGTCGAGTGGGCGCTGCCATTTGAATCTTTTTGTCTCGCGACTTCCGGTCACATTCACTTCCATTCATTTTTTGACGTTAACAATTGCTCGTTACGCTGCTTGATGTTGCAATTTAATATTTTCTTATTATATTATGCTACTTGGTCTGTGTAGTCATGCAAACATTTGTTTGTTGAGCAAGCAGTTTGGCCATTTTCTGCCGTTTATTATTCCTAGTCATTTCTCCCATAGGCGACTGAATCGGAAGTTCTAAGACAATCGCAAAAACAGGCGCACTTCCGCATTTTAGAATAAGGTCAATATGAGTAAGTAAACCCCTTAAAGAACATTTTTGGAACTTTAATACACTATAAAAACCTCCTCCCTATTTTACCTAATAATAAAAAAAACTCTAATGCAAGGCTCAGACCGTTTGCTTGTGCCTAAACCATTCAGAAACTGAATACCATATATTCCATCTTTCGCAGTCCCCTTTTTGTTTCACAATTTGCAAATTGCCTTGCCTGTATTCTTAGCCTCTACATTTTCAATTGGTCGAAACCCAAAATACTGCCAAACTGTAGAAGATTTGCCATCTTTCCCTACCTCTCTCTGTCTCCTCTACGCTGTCCTGTGATGACAACCACGCCTACGTATTTTTAGGCATTAAAAATTTTTTAAAAAGTTTAATGTTTAATCCTGGTCTCCTTTGTAGCAGTAGTTTATCTGCTACATTCACTAAACCTTACTTAACCTGCTCCAAGCTGGGATCAAACCGACGACCTTCCGCATGGGAGACGGTTGCTATACCGAGGAGGCATAAGTGCATTGTTTTTTATGATGGTACAGTTGAAGTCAGACACCCCCCCCACCCCCACCACCCCCCCCCCCCCCCCCCCCGTTTGTTCGAAGATTTTTTTCAACACATTTCTAAACATAATAGCTTTAATAACAAATTTCTTTTAACTTATTGTGTATCTTTGCCATGATGGCAGTAAATAATATTTGACTAGATATTTTTCAAGACATCTGTACAGCTTAAAGTGACATTAAAGAAGGCTTAACTAAATTAATTAGGTTAACTAGGCAGGATAGGGTAATTAGGCAAGTTATTCTGTAATGATGGTTTGTTCTGTAGACTATCGAAAAAAAATAGCTTAAAGGGGCTAATAATTTTGACCTTGAAATGGTTTTTTAAAAATTACAAACTGCTTTTATTCTAGCCGAAATAAAACAAATAAGACTTTCTCCAAAAGAAAAAAATATATATTATCAGACATACTGTGAAAATTTCCTTACTCTGTTAAACATCATTTGGGAAATATTTAAAAAAGAAAAACAATTTCAAAGGGGGTTTAATAATTCTGATTGCAACTGTAGGAACTGAAACTGATACCATTGCTATTTTTAGCCTACTATCTATGAAAAAACTGAATATTTTCCCAGAAACATAATTCTCAATTTAACTCAACACAAACTATAAAATAAAATGAAAACATCTAAAATAACAAACACAAATACAATTACAAATAAAATAATTTTGTCATGATTGCCTTTTTTCTCTTTTTGTTCTCTTTTCATGATAAGTGAAATGTAACCATGGCTGTCTCTTCAGATTTCTTCAGTTTAACAATAGTATATATGATTAAATAATGTTATATTGTTAAAATAGCTTTAGATTAAAACATTAAATCATGAAGGGTGAACGAATACATAATAATGTTAACCTCTTAATAATAATAATCATTATAGAAGTCTGAATAGGTTTTAAGTACGACTAAATATAATTCATCCAAGATTGAAAATTTACTCAGCATTAACTTAGCCTCAAGTGTTATCAAACCGTGTTTGGGTTTCTTTTTCTGTTAAACACTAATTAAGATATTCTGAAGAAAGCTGAACACCTGTAACTATTGACTTCAGTTCCATAATAGCAAAAACAGATAACATGGAAGTCAATGATTAATGACTTGTGTTCAGCTTTATCCAAAATATATTATTTTGTGTTAAACAAAAGAACAAGTAAAATGGTGAAAACTTATGACAGAAATGTAATTTTTGGGTGAGCCATCCATTTAAGTGTCCTAATAACGTTAGCATATGTAACGTGAACGTTACTAGACCCACTGTACAAATATGACATTAAGTTACAGTTTATTTCAATGACAAGTCTGCTTTGGGAAAAAGGACATATCTTACTGTGTCTCTGACTCTGAGACAAAAAAAGAACGAAGAGTTGTAAGAAACTCACCTTGCAGGTTCTCTCCATCGTTTCAACCAGTTGCAACAGTTCGCCATCAGATTGAACATTTCCCCCCTAAATGCTTTCACTGGGGTTTATTTTTTCATGACAGTCGTTTTAAGTTAGCTGATTACTAACGTTAGCACTTAACGCCTCCTCTTTTTATGTTTAATCAACCCGTTATCTACTAACACGCTATTATTTGACTATCTGAGTGACTCGTAAAGATGTGTACATTCATTTTGTTTGGTTATTACATGATAATAACGTCAAAATAAAACAAAGCTGGTCAGCTAAGATAACGTCACGTCGCTTAATTATTGAACTATCACTTACAACGCGGACCATTATAGTTTAGTTTCATTTTGCTCCCCCGAATCAAAGCTGTCTCACTGAGGGCTAACCAGTTAGCTATTACATACGATGCATTAAAACTATAAAATTGCACATAATGCAGAAAGAAACCTTTAATTAAACCCTGACTGTGCGCACGGTTTTTAAAACATCCCCTAATCGCACTCTTAATTTTATGCCCCTGTCTGCACAGATACTACTGGGGTAACGTTAACTGTTAGCTCGCTAGCAATCCGCTTTGTTTACCAAGCTGAATCTGGCTGCTATGGCTGCAGCCGCTATTACGTTGAGGGTCAGGGTTGCCAGGTGTTTACAAATTGTTGATATAACATAGAACACGACGAAGTATCATATAAAGCAGGGATCACCAAACGTGTTCCTGGAGGTCCGCTGTCCAGCAGATTTTAGCTCAAACCCTAATCAAAAACACCTGAACAAGCTAATCAAGGTCTTACTAGGTATTCTTGAAACACCCAGGCAGGTGTGTTGAGGCAAGTTGGAGCTAAACCCTGCAGGGCACCGGACCTCCAGGAACGAGATTGGTGACCCCTGATATAGAGTTTAGTTTAATTCTTTCAGAATCCGATTGTATATAATGGAATATTAACACAAATACACTTTATCAAACCGTCTCAATCAAAGTGCCAGAGAACGAATCAATACAGAAAGATTTGGCAACAGTGGACTTGCCTATGGTTAAACATGAACAGCGCCTCTTGCGGACGGAGAGGTAACAAAATTTACTCTTTTTGACCATATACATTTTGTAGCTACTTTTCTACAATTCGAAAATTATAATTCTAAAAATCGTTAAATAGTAAACATTTCTATCTGCTAAATATATGTAAGTGTAATTGCCTGTAATTGAATTGCAGGCAAGCTATTTGTATGTGTGTACAGTATGCTTATGTGTAATACTATATTTGTATATAAAAAGCCCAAATGAGAACTTTGCCTAATTTCAATAATAATCCACACTGAATTAGTCTCAAATTTTAATACTGTTAATTGAAATTTGGTTATGCGCTGAATAAAAAAGTAATGTTGCCATGTCTGAGTTATTGGAGGTTTTTTATGTTATGGAAAGATAAACTTTTGCTAATTGTGAGAACCCCTATGCATCAAATAAATGTTCAATGATTATGCAGCATCTGAGACATATCAGGCAAGCAGTTACTTTACCAAGTAATACACAGCAACCCTCACCCAAAAAGTGTTATAGGCTACTTGCTATCTCCAACACCTCAACTCAAGCCAGGGTAACGGTGGCAAGATCAAGATAAGGGTTTATGGCCCTATCATAATTTAAGTTCGCCTCTTATCTCTTTGAAACAGACCAGAGGAAGACAAGACACAAAGACTTCCTTTTAAATAAAATTATATAAATGAAGACAGACGTGTATGTGTATTAACCAGCACATCCACAGAACAGAATTCATGTCACTATTGTGTTTGTACAATGCCCTTGGTATTTTATACTATTAATGTATTTTTCATTGACCAGATCAGCCTCCAGTAGGTGTGGCCTCTGTAGAAGGTACATGCTACTATTCTGTTTCCAACAGTTAAGACTAGAAACTCTGAAGAGATAGACAAGAACAACACAGGAAGGAGAGTTGTGTACTGGCCCGTGACCATGAGGACACCATGTGCTCCAGAAAGAACTTCTTCCATCAAGTCAAGAAGAGCACTGCTGAAGTCATTCCACACTCAACAAAGAAGAACTTCACCACCATTTATTGTACCAAACAAGACTTCATCCAAGACTGTATTGAACTCACAGAATGGCTGAGAAATATGCAAGTATACACTTTACCTTATGATTTAGATTAAGTTTATAGGCCGCTTTGGTGTGATGGTTTTTCAGATTTGTGCTTGTGCTTGTTCATTCATTCCTCTGCTTCATTTTGTTGTCATTTATGCATTTTCACATATCTTTTACACTTTTAAATGTACACTTGATTGTGTTTATTTGTTTTTTTCTCGTTATTTGTCACTTTAGCTTTAGTTAAGTTACTTTAACGTTTATGATTTCTGCTAGATGAGATGGTTTCATGACATAATGATTTCGATGTCATATGAGACCAAGGATAGTTGTAACATTTTTTTACATTTCTCTCTACAAGAGTGTAGATTTGCTTTTGATATTGGTGGGGACCTAATTTGACACCACCCAACCCCCATCCCCCAATTGTAAAATTTAAATGTAACTCTACATTTAAAATGTAAAGTCTGACAAAAAAAATGTAGTTTAGTAAAGACCTCTGTTTACTAAGGGCTTTTTTGTGCATTACCACCGCATCTGAACACATTTTTACAAGTGTAATATTGCCATTTATTCACTTCAAGCTAAAAGATGACTTTAGCATGTTCTCTTCCTTCTCAGAGCATGCAAACAGAACAGCACATGTTCAATTTCTCACTTAAAAACTTTACTAAATAATAATGAAAAAACCAAATACAATTAGTAATAAAGACAACATTAAATCAAGCATGTCTTGTGGTGCGAAAGTAAATTTACATGATTTTACTTTGAGAAGGAATGAATGCTTCTGGAAAGGAGGAGGTATATGACACAATAACTATTTTTGCATCAATTGTTGTTTTGTCATAATCGCCGTGGAGGCCAAAATCAAAAAAAAAAAAAAATATTTATTAATTGCACCTCCATGGTTACTATTATAAGCGAACTTAACTTCAAGTGACTGATTCTTTTCTTTGAAATGTAGCTGCTTATGTCTATGTCTCGCCTGAGTCTTGCACAGTAAGCCTAAATGGAAAATTTCCACAAAGCATTATTTTATTTTGGAGGCAATTAAATTATTGATGGGGACATTTTAGTAATCTGTGGATATTGGTGGAGACACGTCCCCTCCGGCCATGCTAATTAATTCTACACCCCTGATCTCTCTCTATCTTTGAGTGATAGGTTTGAAAGATTTGATATCTTTTAAGGAATTGTTTTCTTTGCAGCACAAACAGAAAAAAGCGGTTTAGTTCAAAACAGGAGAACACTGAACACAATCTACTTTTGGCTTTGAGGTCTGTCTATTTCAAGAGCTATAGGAATACTGAAATCAAATCATTTAAATACCGCTTTCAGTTTACTTGGTGTTGGTGGTAACATTTCACTGATTAACTAACCAAAGGTTTTGTTAATCTGGAGTACAGTAGAAATTAACTTGCTCATCTTACAGCCAGCAGCTGAAATATGTTCACCAACTTCATGCATTAAAATTCTAAGCCAGATTTAAAACTTAGTCTGGCCACTGGTTCTCTGGGCTGTTTCGTTTTTCGTCTCGCTTGACGAAGACTTGTGATACACATTTGGTATTTCATTGGTAGTTTTATTACAGGGATGACATGGTAGCACTGTCTCCTCACAGCAAGAAGGTCATTGCTGGTTTAAGTCTCGGCTGGGCATTTCTGTATGGAGTTTCCATGTTCTCCATGTGGGTTTCCATTGGGTACTCTGGTTTCTTCCACAGTCCAAAGACATGCGCTATAGGTGATTTTAATAAACTAAATTGGCCATAGTATATATGTGTGTGTGTGTGAATGAGTGTGTATGGGTGTTTCCCAGTACTGGGTTGCAGTTGAAAGGGCATCTGCTGTGCAAAACATATGCTGTAAAAGTTAGCAGTTGACTCTGCTGTGGCGACCCCTGAAGAATAAAAAAGGGACTAAGCCAATGGAAAAAGAATGAATGAGTTTCATTTCATCTCTCTTGCAGGCTGTTGAGAATCATTGATCTGTTTGTGTCTGTTCTGGACTGATATCCAGTGTTTTGTCCTGTTAATGTTTCACTGGACACAGCGGAAACTCAGTAACTTGGTTGATCTGTTATTGTATCTTTCTGTATAGTGAACTAAGAGCCAGACAGGGTATGTCTGTTCAAAAGCACACTTATCCAATTCTTGTGCTGTGATTGGCTGTTGTTAACCTCAAAGATTTTTGCATATTTGTTTTAGAGAAATTTGATATATTTGTGGAATAGTCTAGCCTATGCACCTGCATAAATTATTCCTCTGGTCTTAAACTTTTCTTGATAAAAAATAAGGTAAACATACTTGTTGTTTTGGCAGTCTTGCAACTGAGACAATACAGACGCATAAAAAAAAAAAAACAGTGGTGGAAAAAGTAAGTGTGAGGTATGAGTTGACATTTATGCATGCTGTGTGCAGTAGTTTTTTTATGTTAGTAGGTGAAAAATGCTTAAAAGGGCAAACAATGCGTGTGCTATTTAAAATCTATCTGATCATAATATATACAGTGCTCAGGAGCATAGACTACACCACATTTTGCAAATTATTATTTTTTTATTAATTGATCAGTAAATGTAGGTCAAATTTGTTGGTGCATTTGAGATTTAAAATATTTTGGTCACCAACCATCTTTAGAAATGGAAAAAACAATACATTTAAATTCATGCATTAATACATAAATTCATTCATTTTTTCTTGAATTTTCTTCTTTTTTTTTTTTGGTTTAATATTTTTTCCCAACCTTTAAAAGTGGGTGTACTAATTTTGGACCGTTATCATGTTATTTTTTTCAGATTAGCTCCAGTTTTGGCTTCAGTACTGACTAATCTAATGTATATGCACATATATATTATTGTATAGCTTTTTATAGAAAATATAATATAATCATATACGCTGAACACTGTACATATTCTCATGGGAAAAGCAAATATCCAAATCAAATTGTGCCTGGCTAATTAAAAATTTTAGTTATAAAGGGAAATTTCTTACAACTTAAAATTAAATGACACTACAATAAACAACCAAACTCGACACTTTTTAAATGTGTTTATTAATTAGGACCAAAAAAGCTCTCGATATATAAACCCAGTCACCCAATCCAATCATATACTATTTAATCTCTTCAAACATTTACAGAAGATATAAAACAAAAACTGAATAAATAAGACTGGTGCTGCTCATCTGTGGAACAGCTTTAAACATGCCTCTGTCTGAGACATGAGTTAGTCCTCCTCTCGAGTTTCTTGAGTTACAGAGAAGACACTTCAAATATGTCATGACAATGTTCAATGAGGCTGTGTGGCACATATACACTCCTCTGTTAACAGGAGAAACTTCAGCCTTAAAGACTCGGCCTTTCCAGCAGCACCAGCCTGCTGTTATGGCCAACAGTTCTTTTAAGTTTCTGAAAAGAAGTCACAGTCCTTCATTTAAAGACTTCGTGTCTTTAACTTTTCCCAAGTGTCTTGAAGTTTATAACATTTGTAAAAGATGCAATCAGTATTTTTACAAAGGTTCACATATCAAGTTTGGATTAAAAAAAAATAATAATAAAAGAACATACTTAAAGTGTGCTTGCAATACTTTGAGTGTCCTGCAAGTTTCCATCCATGCTCAAAAAGCAGCATGTAATACTGGTAGACACCTGACCCACTGTCACTACTTTAAACCTTTATTAACCATCACAACATTTGCACTTTTCCTTTTAGAGTAGTTTTTTTACTCTTAATTTGTAGTGTTAGGGTCATTGGTGGCCTCTTAAACCCAGTAATTGAAAAGACAAGCAGAAATGACAAAACAAGGACAGGAAGAGTCAACAGAGGCCAAAAACGCATCTGCTGTGCATTTTACAGAAAGACAAACATATTCTTTTTTTTTCTGAAAAAGCAGACAATTACGTAACAAAAATATTGTAACCCTAAGTCTTAAAAAGACTAATGATTTGTTAAAAAACAAAAACATGAGCTTTAGCAATAGACCTGCTATAAAAAAGCAGCAGATAGGTCACACAAGACTACAGACAGGGATCAGTTATTTCCCATTCAGTTCCATTTCAAGATGCTGATAAAGATGTTAAGCACATATGTAAGAACGGTGATTGCCTACAGCAGCGTTGAGCAGTTTTCGCCGTAGAAAAGGCTGCTTCTCCAAATTCAGGAGGCACCTATAAAGACAAACACAAAATATTTAGCAAAAGCTAAGCTAAGATAACCTTAAGGGGTTTAAATTCACCCAGAAAAGAAAATTCTCTCATTAACAGAATATAAAGTTTGAAGTAGGGCTGCACGATTCTGACTGAAATGAGAATCAAGACTGCTTTTGTTTTGCTTATAATCAAGATCATGATTTTCTCATAATTCTGTAGATGTGAAATAAAGGTTCATATGAGTAGGCTATTATTATTGTTATTTCTCAAACATATTGTAAAACAACAATGATAATCTTAAGCCTATGTATAGGTCTACTGTTGGCTAAAATGCTACATTTTGTTTAGACTTTCATAAGTGATGGCATCTGAATACAACTATTCATAATTCTTTCATCTGAGATATATGCTTGCAATCTGTGATTGACAACATTATTAGATCAGTTTTTTTTACTGGTAAAATGAAACATTTGTCATTGTCTAATTCCCTCTTGCATTATACTTAACATTATATAGGCTTGAGTACTTATACTGACCCAGTAATCATTTATTTTCATGCACAACACTCTGGGTTTGCCATGATAGAAAAAAACATATCAAATGTTTGTCGTAATCATAACTCTAAACTGTAATATGATCATTTAAATGAGATGCGTGCTTTCTGTTTCACTTTTACTGTCGAGTGTGCCTACGTTATAGCCGCCATCACTCTGCGAAAAAACATAAATGCAAATCAAACATACGTGCAAACTTCCCGCTCGGCTCCCAAACTATCTTTCAGTGCAACAAACTAAATGTTATTTACAACTTTAATTATTCACAACCTTTGCAGGTTCTGTTCACTAAAGTAGACGTCATTGGCAGGCACGCATGCGTCCTCTCGGTAACATCTTCTCACCACTGGCTTGCATGGTTCGGGACTTGTAGAGCTGCGATTCGATGGATTTGCTCTTTGGTGTTTGGACTTTCAGCAGAGAAAATTAAACCACACTGAACTGAACTGAACTAAACTGAACTTCAACTCTGAAAACTGAACTGATACAGCTTCAATTTACTAGAATTTCTATGTTAAGCTGCTTTGATCTACATCGTAAATGTGCTACAGATATAAAGATGAATTGAATTGAATAGTAAGCAAACATTGCAAATAAATCATTACATAAAGACATAAATGACATTTTTGGGTAAATTATTATATCTTGTAAATACAGTGTGTGACACTTTTAACACCTGAGTAATGTGTATAAAATGATGTAAAGACCTTTATGCTTCTCTCCTGACCTTGAAAAAAATATTGCCTGAATCATAGAAAGGCTGAATTAAGATCGTGTGTAGAGTCGAATCGAGAACACAATCTCTTTTTTTCAATTAATCATGCAGCCCTAGTCCAGAAAAATAACCTAAAACATTGTCAAAATATTTCTTAAGGCTTGTGTACACGGGAATGGTTTTTGTTTGCGTTTATCATCAGTGTTTTTCAAGACATTTTTTCAGATTTAAACCAAAACGATTTTCATTGGCGTCGAGCAGAAAAGTGCGCAAAATCACTCCTTGTTGTTAGATGGCGCTACACAACATTAACTTTTGACACCCGCTTGTAACAGAAAAAGCAGACAGAAAGTTGACACACTTGTTGGTAAAAATACTGAGGATTCAAACAAGCATGGATGGTTCTAGCAGCAGCTCCAGCTCTAGCAATGATGAAATGATTATTGTTCACCAGTGCAATAAGCAGCTCCACGTTCATATCACCTCTGGGCATCTTCTTCAATGTGCACTCACATTGATATTTTACTGTTTGAGCGCCTCCAAATGCTGTTTACTGTAACTTCAGCAGCTCAGTGCGCGTGAACAAATTTTGTATGTTTAATCAAATTTTCCGTCGCTGTTAAAAACAACGTGACTAAATAAAGAACGCCAATGTGATCGAGCACACCAACATGCAAAACAGCTGGCGTAAAAGCGTATTTTTTTAAGAAACGCCTCACGCTCGATTTTTTATATTTTTTTTTTGCTTTGACGCGCTGCGTCAATCTGGAAAAATGTCTCGAAATACGCTGACGATAAACGCAAACGAAAAGCATTCCAGTGTGTAAGAGTCTTAAGACATTAGTAAACAAAACTGTTTTTTGGTGCACAAAAGTATTCACAGAGCTTCATATAATAACAGTGGAACCACTGTAGTCGCATGAAATATTTTGACAATGTTTTAGGTTCTTTTCCTGGACTTCAAACTAGGGCTGCATGATTAATCAAAAAAAAGATTGTGTTCTCGATTCGACCCTACACACGATCTTAATTCAGCCTTTCTATGATTCAGGCAACAATTTTTTCAAGGTCAGAAGAGAAGCATAAAGGCAATCGCACAAGTCTTTACATCATTTTATATACATTGCTCAGGTGTTAAAAGTGTCACATACTGTATTCATAAGATAATTTACCCAAAAATGTCATTTCTGTCTTAATGTAATAATTTATTCGCAATGTTTGCTTTCTATTCAACTCAATTAATCTTCATTTGCCTGTGCACCAGGCTCTTTCTGTTTTTCATTAAGCGCCATCCAACATCAAGGAGTGATTTTGCATACTCTTCTGCTCAACGGCAGTGAAAATCCCTTAGGTTTGAATGCTGAAAAACGTCTCTAAAAAAATGCAGAAAACGCTGACGATAAATGCAAAGGAAAAGCGTCCCAGTGTGTTCGAGCCTTGATTAGTGGAAAAGGTTTTGATGCGGCACATCAAAAAAAAAAAAAAAAAACGAGCATGGGGCATTTCTTTAAAAATGATGATTTTACACCTGGTTTATTACGCGTTGGTGTGCACAATCATATTGCTGCCCTTTATTTAGTCACGAGAAGTTAAACGTCAATGGAAAATGTGAGCAAAAGCGCAGTCCCGGTGTGAAGGGGCATTTACATATTAGATCAGAGTGTGCGTTTACTACAGGTAATATAATGCATTGTCGTGCCAGTAATAAGCATGCACACTGATGACCTGATGAAAAGTAATGCGAACAAAGTAATTTTTACAGTTTCATTTGAAAGTTGACAATATTTTTGGTTCTTTTCTGGACTTCAAAAATATCAGGACTGTTGCCGTCTATAAAGGACGACGGAGGTGATTGGATGAATAATTAATAACAGAATTTCCTTTTTTGGGGTGAACCAACCCTTTTAAGATCAAAAATGAAATGATACTTACTTTCATCATCTGAATCGAAACCAAAGAGCGATGTGCATTTGTCCTTGTGTTTTTGCAGCTCTTCCTCACTGTCAAATGACTGAAAACATCGAGAGCAACGTTGCCTGGTAGGCGGTATTTCTGGAATTGACACAGTGCCTGGCAACTTTGAGCCCACCTGGAGTTCCTTCCAGCGTTTTGGCATGCTAGTGTAAGACTCATCAAGATAAGATGAGGGGAGAGGTCGAATAAATTGTTTATTTGTCTGTTTTTTTGCAGCCGGTGCTTCTTGCACTTTAATGACTGGATCTGAAGGTTTCTGAGGAACAACTTTATCAGTCTCATCATGCCCATTAACAAGGCTGTGGTTCTTGCTACTGTAGTTTACAGAACTTTTATTGAGAACTAAAGGTTTTTCTTCATCATCTTGTTTTCCTGATGAAGAATCCTTCAAAATGGTTGTAGTGAGCTGATTGACTGAAGACTTTGCTGCTGCCACCATACCATCTTCTAGTCTTGCATGAACTAATGGTTCAGATTCTTTACACAGGATTGATTTGGTTTCCAAATTTGGATTTTCTTCATAATGCAGTTTTTCATGCTTATACAGGAGCATCATACTCTGAAGCTGCATAGAGCAGCCAGGAAAGCAGCACATTGCTCTCAATGGAAGATGGACTAACACGTGTTCACTAAGCTCCATGCGCGTACGGAACCTCTGCTTACAGCCATAATGGTAGCATGGGAACTTTAACTCGCCTCTGTGACTCATCACATGATCAAAAAAATGCTGAGGGTTACATATCTTCCTGCAACAGTAAAGACATTTTTCCTTTCCAAAGTCATAAAAGAACACAAGCGCCTTCTTGTCACTGAGATGGTGAGAGAGCACATGTGAAAGGACAAGTATTGACTTTGCACTAAATGTGCAAATCTCCACAGGACATTTGACTTGTGTGGATGCTCCGGTTCTTTTTCCCTGGAATGGTGTGGAAGGCACTTTTGACTTTTTCTGAGTGCCATTTTTGTTCTCCACTGCATTTACTTCCTTCTGTACTGTATTACTGTCTTTGGGTTGCTGATTCTCAGAACTGACTTCTGGACTGCTTATTTTCCTTCTTTTTACAGCATCTCCATCCTCTTTTTGCTCCTCAGGCGCAATCTTCTTTTTCAGCACAGTTTTCAGCATTTCAATTGTTCTTTTCGATTTTGATTTGATCTTGTCTTTTATTACACCTGCATTCTCAGATTGACATTTGACAATGTCCTTTTGACTTTCTTTGTCTCTTTGAATTTCTGTGCCTTTTTGACTTTCTGAGCATTCTACATTCTCTGTTTTTACTCTGATTTCATGGGGTACTGATGTCTGAGCAATTTCATTCGAGAGATTTGTCTCAGATACACTCTTATCTTTCCTTTTCTTTCTGATCACTCCATTTACCCTAGGAGCGGAGTTGCTCTTGCTCTCCAAGTGGTTGTCCTTCGGAGTTGGTGCTTGTATAGTCTTCGTTCTTTTCCATTCTAGTCTCATTCTGAAAAGCTTTTTGTTCTCATCTCTGGACTGAGGTCTCTTAACTAATACCCTTTTTAAATGCCTTTTCTTCATCTTACTAGCCTTTTCCTTTGGTTCTTTCGTTGCCTTTCCAGGATCTGAATTTTTAACTAACCTTGTCCGTAGTCTTACTTGATCTGAGTTTTGCCCATCCTTGTGCATATCTGCGATGTTCAAAGTACAGTTTAACCTCATTTTAATGTTTCTAAGCTTATTCCGAATGGGCGGACGGCCACGTTTTACCCGTCTCTTTTGAACACGCTGTGAGCTGGTCTCAGCTGCTTTCTTAGGAATGTTTTTATTTAAAAGTCCATTAGACTGTTTCAGCTGCTGAATGTGGACTTTAAAATGGACTGATGGGCTGCGCCCATGAGCGTAGCGTTTGTGACAAAACATGCATTTTTTTTCGATCCGATGATGCCACAGTGCATGACGTAGAATGTGTGGGAATTTTATTTCTTTATTGCAATAGCTGCAGTTGACTGAAAGCTGGCAACTTGTGTCACTTTGGGGGATACGGTTGGCTACAAGATCATCAACAGCAGCATTCATTTCCGTTATCTCCTTGGTTCTTGGTGGCACCACTGACATGTCTGTACTCTCAGGCACAATTTCAGATGAAGCATAAGTGTTAGCCACTGTATCATCAGGGAGCACTGCAACTTCAGTGAGAACTGGAGGAGCCTCCTCGGGAAGACTGGTAATGTTTTCTGGTGTACTATCAGATAGAGATATTGTGGCAGCTGTAGTGAGACTTGTCCCTTCTGCAGAAATAGTGTCAGATATGGTGGGAGTTGACAATTCAGGTTCATTGTCAACATTAGTACTTTCTGGAGGACTAATAGGACTGTAAGGACCATATAATGGAAATTGCATGTCTGTATCTTGAGGGCTTGAAAACTCGCCAACTTTTGGATCTTCTGTGCATTCCTTAACTGGCTCTCGAATGGCTTCAACAGAAGGGGCTGTTTCTGCTGTTATAGCTGGGATTGGTGTAGACTTAATTTCGACAGACTGTTTAACATGTTCAACAACTTCAGGGCTCTCTGCAGGTTCACACAGTTGCTCTGTAGCCACACTTTCTTCTTTGGATTCATTATGGTTCAGCTTAGCTTCTTGCTCTCTGGGTAAACTGTTGAATGATATTTTTTCTAATTCAACAGGTCTTGAATATGTGTGGAATTTTCGAACCATAGAAGGTCCCTGCTCCCGGAAAACAAACTCATCCTTCATCCTCAAGTCTTTTTTGCTACGTGGAGGAGATTCTGCAGACAGTAACTCGAGAAGAGACAGAGCACTGTGAGGCCATTTTAAATTCTCTAGAGATGAGGTTTTGTCAGTACTTTTTTCTGTCATGTGAGGAGTCTCTGCAGAAACCTGTGTGGCCTGAACATTAGGAGCGATGTCAACTTCATTATCAGGGTAGGAAAATACCACTGTGATTTCACTGACTGGTGGCTCAAGTAAAATCTCCCTCAAAATATGTGACTCCTTTGGTTTCCTTCCTGGCTTCTTGACTTGTCGTGGCTCACTGTTTTCTGATTGGCCAGCTAATTGGTCCAAAAGCCATTGTGGCTTTCTTCCCTTCCGTTTCAGTGTGTTCATCTCTGTCTGTCGAGAGCGTCTCTGATGCCTGCTATTAAGTTTCCTCTCATAATCCTTTTCCAAGTCCAGTTGCCTAAATGAACGTCGAACTGGACAGGCATCTGAATTTTTTACAAGTCGTGTGCCTGGCTTTCTTCCCCGTTTTTTGCTTGGAGTTTTGGAGGATGCATCTTCTGAGGGAAATTTAACCCACATTTTCATTGATGTTGTTTCTTGGTCAATATGACTAGTATGATTTTCTGCTTTACTGACAGTCCTGTCTGTGTCGTTTGAATGACACTGACAACATCCCTTTACACAGTAGCTTGGCAACCACTTGTCCTTTTGCATGATTTCACATAAAGCTGCTTTGCCAACCTTATCACTCATTAGCTTTAAACAGTTTGTCTCAATGTTGAGAATGCTCCAGAACTCAGGGTCAAAATACAGGTCTTTTTTAAGGATCTGGAGAACCTCAAATCGTACACTGTTGCCCACAAGACCAGTGTCTACATGGTACTGTTGATCAGGGTGGATATACAAGAGGAACACATTCTTGTATGATTCAACAGTTCTCTCTTGAAAGAAAATGAGCAGTGCACAAGCCCTACAGACCTCAAGGTCATTAGGGAGCAAGTATGCAACAGTTTTGTAGAACAGTGTCTTGGTGGCTGGATCATTTTGAAGGTCGGTCTGTAAGGCTCGGGCACAAAGCTCCACACAAAACTCCCGGCCATCTTTTCCAAACTGTCAAAAAAAATAAAAGGAAGACAAATTATTTACAGAAGTTCAAAATAAAATGATAAAATGACAATTACATAAACACAGTCATACCATAAATGTGATCATACTATACACATGCCTTGCTTGTGAAAAAAATATCGTACCTCTGTCAAAACCACCTTCATGAATGGGAAAATTGCTTTTATGTTGGTGGCTGAAAGAATCATTACTTTGCATTCCTCTAGAAAGCCCTGCTTAGAGATGTTCAGCCTCATGTAGAGTCTGCTCCATATGAAGACCAAATCCCTAAAGAAAAAAAAAAAAAAAGATTCAATATAAAGGGAGTACATATACTGAATGCAACTTCCTTTGTAAATGTTCAAAGACCTTACCAAAGGTAGTACATGTCTCCTGTCTGGAGCTTTTGGGATAGGAAGCTTTTACTCAGCATCAAAACAGTCTCATCTTTCTCCTCATTCTCCATCATGCAGAGTATCTCAACAGCATCCTTGCCATCAATGTCTGCCATCTTTACATAAGAAAAAGTAAGTCAGACATTTACCAACACGTTTCATATATTTATCTAAGATGATTTAAAAGCTCAAATAGCACTATATTCCCACACATAGTAAACTAAAATGGCCTCAAGACGAACACCGCAGAGTAGTGGTACCACTGACATTTTATTCTACAGATGGTGGCACCACTAGCATCTGGTTTAGTTGCACTAGGGTATTTACCAACACCATGTTTTGTCAGCTGGAAATGCTGACTGTAATCAGATTTCTTTTCCACCAGCTGTACAAAAGAAGTCTAATAAGTCCAATCAATTTATCCATAATAACAAGTGCCTCACATGGCTTGTAGGGTTGAATAAAGACTGTCCTTAGTGCATCCATTCCCTTTTACAAGGAATATATATCCACACATATTAAAATCTTTTAAACAATTTTGTGCAACCTCTGGAGAGTGCAGTCAGTGGACTGCAATTGTAGAGCTGGCAAAGGCAAATATAACTAAATTTGACTGAAAGAAGAAAGTCACATACAACTAGACTGTCCATGTGCAATGACTCCCAGCAATGCTGCCATTACAAATCATTGAAACCAATAAGTCTCTTATTTTATCTATGCCTTTCTGATGAATTCAGTTATCTTGTATTATATATATGGTATATTGTAGGGAAATAACACAATCCAGAGACAGCAAGCAATAAAACATATAAATGGAAAATATAATATTTAACAAAAACTAAGAAAAATAAAAAGCATAAAAGCTGGAGAATGTTTTGATGCTCTGCATTTATGCAATCATCAATTACAGAAAAAATACAAGTGATTTGTAACTTACAAGCTAAATAAATTCTCTCTTACCTCCTTGTTCAAGCACTGATGAAGAGCTGCTTTCCAAAGACAGATGAGGTAGGCTTGCTTGTAATAGAGGTACTTTCCAACGACAGAATGCTGGATGCATCTCCTTGTCAGTGCCAAAGCCTCAGGAAGCCTTTCACATGCCACCAGGTAACGCAAACGCAGCTCAAAGAAAATGGATGCTTCAGAGCTCAGATATTTGTCCACTGCAAACATGAGAAAATGAGACTGAGTTGCAATCAAGCACAATACCAGTGTAGGAAATTCAATACAAAGCTTACTTGATCACAGTTAAACAAAAGCATGACTGACTGACCATCTTCTTGTGGTAACTCTGAATCCTTAAGAATGGCCTCGAGTACAGGACTTGCCCAAGGTCCTCCATCTTTAATGATATGTCTAACCTGCAGAAGGTAAACATTCTGGTGGCTCACAAGGCTCGCATAGCAGACCTAAATAAAAAAAAAAAGAGAAGGAAAATAGTCTTCATTTATGTTATGCATTTTTTTATTTAATTAAATCATGTACTGTACATAGAGTGAAAACCTTAAACACTGACAGTCCAGTAAACAGACCTCTACCTTTTCCCCGTAACAATAATGGATGTAGTTACCTGGAATGAGTCTAGAATGTCTTTTAAAGGATGCTCGATGAATTCATCTTTTCCAAAGAACAACAGCAGTTCAAATATACTCCTGCAAACAAACAAACAATAGAAAGAGATTGTTTAATAAACAAATAAAACAAAGTTTATTTAGACCTCAACGATATGTTTTACATAAGGATGAAGAGATTTTCATTAGTTATTTCTGTTTTTTTCTTCAGGCTGATAAAGTGTATATTTTACCTTCTGTAAAATTACAGTAAATTGGAATGAAAGATAAAATGACTAGACAGGGTCTGGATTTTTTTTGTCCAGAAGTGCAGACAGGATTTCAGGATCACCACAACTGTTCTATTTTTGTATAGCTTGTCATGTTTAACTGAGCTGTGCAATATAACAATATAAATATATTATATGGACAAATGTGTGTGTGTGTAGTTGAAGTCAGAATTATTAGCCTCCCTGTTTTATTTTTTCCCCAATTTCTGTTTAACGGAAAGAAGATTTTTTTCAACACATTTCTAAACATACTAGTTTTAATAACTCATTTCTAATAACTGATTTATTTTATTTTTGTCATGATGACAGTACATAATATTTTACTGGATGTTTTTCATGACACTTTTATACAGCTTAAAGTGACATTTAAAGGGTTAATTAGGTTAACTGGGCAGGTTAGGGTAATTAGGCAATTCATTGTATTACAATGGTTTGATCTGTAGACTATTGAAACAAAATATAGCTTAAAGGGGCTACTATTGGGGCTAAAAATGGGTTTTTAAAAATTAAAAGCTGCTTTTATTATACATACATACATACATACATACATACATATATATATATATATATATATATATATATATATATATATAATTATTGCCAAAGTAAAACAATTAAGACTTTCTTCAGAAGAAAAAAATATGACATACTGTGAAAATTTCCTTTCATTGTTAAACATCATTTAGGAAACACTTAAAAAAGAAAAATAAATTCAAAGGGAGGGCTAAAAAGTTTGACTTCAACGATAAAAGTTTAAATGTTTACTCTGTTTTACCATTCAAGGAGAGTTCAGTATTTTCCTTTATGCAATTAATTAGAATGTTATTTATTTACTTGTCAGACAGGGCTGTCATTTATCTATGGATCACTTAAAATGATTGTTTCTTGAGTCTACCAGTACTCAAATTGTTCAAACTACTTATTTAAAATAGTTTTTTATTATTTAAATTTTAAAACTAACTTAATTGTTTTAAGCTCAATCAACTCAGATGTGGAACCCAGCATTTTTTACAGAGAATGTTAATTCTGTTAGCAAAACAAGTCAAATATAAAACTTGTCATGTGCATTTAAATGCCTGATGTTGTAGTTTGGAAATGTACAAAAACTACACAACTCAATAAGTTCATAGAAACAGCCTATTGTACAATGCACTGATGTTGTAATGCAATTTCAAAATACTACATAAGAATGTGTTTGAGATTTTAAAAAAAAGGCTTTGGGCATCTCAAGGCTCATTTATACTTCTGCGTCAAGCGCACGCGTTTGCTACTGCACAGCCTACGCGTTGACGCACAGCCCTACGCCGCTAACGCGCCCCCTCTCAAAAATGTAACTACACGTCGCAACGACGCGTAGCGCAAGCTCTGTGATTTCTCGGCTTGGTAGCGCTGACAAGTGGGTGGGATCGAGAGCCACGAGAGCCGGATGGAGTGATTGTTTACAAGTGTGGAGTCCTTTAAATGAGCTCCAGATGGAACGTTTTGATTTGCGTTTACCTAATGGTTAAAGCTGTTGCACGTTCGCCGGTTCCTGCCTCAAAATGAGGGAGTTTGAGCCACTTGTACATTAAGAAAGCGTTATGAAAAAAAAAAAAACACCGGCGAAAAAACTCAACACAGAGCAAACTATACATCTCACTGCCAACTAGCATTTTGGAAGTGTTATTGCAGAGGGACAGAACCAGCGCGCAGAAGTATAAATGCACAGCTACGCACGATGCATGCGCCATGGGTTACGCCAGTCACTTGACGCAGAAGTATAAACTAGGCTTCACAGTGCACTGATGTTCTTATGCAGTTTCAAAAAACAACATGAACATGCTTAAAAGTTGGGTGAAATGTCAACATATGCAAAAAAGAATGTACATAGTTTAACAGTTAAAGTTTATTGGTCAGTCATGCAGTACTCTGACCATCGCGCCACTGCTGACAAACAAATTAAATGTATAGATAAATTTTAAATGAGAAGAAAAATAATTATAAACAATATATGAATATATGTACAGGCTGATTATTAATAGCAACCTGTACATATATTAATATATTGTTACATATACACTTGTAATCATGTTTATCTATCCCTGTAAATATATTCATATATTGTAACATATACACTTGTAATCATGTTTATCTATCTGCACACTACTGATTATTAATAGCAACCTGCACATATATTCATATATTGTAAATCTGTTCATAGCTTATCCAACCTGTATATAATGTTCATAGTACATCCATCTGTAAATAGCACCATAGTTTTCTATAACTGCACTTTATAACTTATTCCTGTATCCTGCACTTGCTGCTATTGCACTGCTGGTTAGACCTAAACTGCATTTCGTTTCATTGTACTTGTACATGTGTAATGACAATAAAGTTGAATCTAATCTAATCTAAAAAAAAAAAAAATCCAATGTGAGGAAATAAAAGGGACTTTTAGTCGACTGAAACTGGACTAAATCTACAATGAAGACTAAAATACGATTAAAACCAAATACCATTATGGTCGAAAATCAATCATGTTCATTTATTCAACTTTTTTGTTTTATTTAGAAAATGTATGTTGTTGTTGTTGTTGTTTTTTTGTTTTTTTACTGTAGTTAATAATGTCTTTTCTTGGGCTACCAAAATCTGCAGAGTGCCAGGGATTTTTACATTTTGCACTGCTTTGATGTAGAAGAAAACACAGATAACCTACAATTAATAATGCAATTGGGGATGTGTGGTATGAAGGTATATTTCATTGCCGCGGAATGAAGTGTGTACCGTAAAATACGTTTTTATTCCATGCATACCCTGAAATGTAAATAAGTGGCAGTGGCCAACCCATGCATCATGTGTTAGGCTGAGAAAGATTCTCCATGAAAGACTGGCAGTGTTGCCAATTGCTTTTTACTTTAAACAGAAAGTGATCACAGTTTCAATATTTTTTTCAAGAATTGTAATTGTGTATATGTTTTAGTTTTATCTATATTTTCATATTTAATATTTATTTTCCTGTTATACATAATGAGATTTATCTGTGAAATATGTTACTTGGGAAATGTTTAGTAATAAGGTCTGTCCACATAAAACCATGTTACATGCAGTGGAAACTGATGTTCATTAAAAATCTTATTTTGTTTACTATATTTATATGGTTTAATATAAAATACTAAATAATCAAATAAGATCCCATTTTCTGATCAATATCATTCCAATGAACATTCAGAGTAATTTCACATGGACACCAATACTCTGACTTTAATACGCTTAAGACAATACTCTGACTAACAGTCTACCATGTAAACAGCAATGTTTGATAAATCCAACTAAAGCCACAATGAAACTAAACAGAAATAAAATTAGATGTGGAGAACTCCTATTTTAGTGGCATTATTGAAGTGCAGTACAGACATGAAAACCATCATCATCAAATTATCAAACTTTAACCGTTTTGTAGTACTTTTCACCGCATTTTGCGACAGGATGCACACATGGCAGTTGTCAGGTGTTTGACGACAAACAAATAAGAATGGCAATAAGCATGACAGCACATTTTTGGTGTGAGCGGGAAGTGATGACTATGCAGAGAATTCTGGAAGAAATGAACATTATTAAGTGCCTTGACTTTGCTGCAGGGGCTAAATAAAAAGTTGGTGAAATGAAAAAAGTGACCTGTTGATTATGAATTTGTTTTCATCATCATCTGTTGCCATGCATAGTGTGAGAAACTAACTGCAGTTGAACTTGTCACAGAATTATAAACAAAACCATGATGAACACAAACTCTTTTTGCATAAAATGCAGAGAAATCTAGCATCAAATGGTGACGTAAGGACAATAATCGAACTGTTTACTATAACATGCAAAACAAGAACATGAAAGAAACATTCAAAAAAATCAACTCATGTAAACACCCTAATCATATTATTGTCTTATTCCGATTAAGGTAAATAACTAGATCACTGATGTCTATGTAAACACAGTATCACACATGTGTGTGGTTTTAACTACAGCTCTTGTCTTGTAGTCAGAAAAATCAAGTCATCCTGTGACATATGGACTAATAAGTGAATTTTAAAGTGCTGTTTTCAAGAATGTGTATGTGCTGGCGGAATAACAGTGTGACAATGCAAAGCACATAAATAAAGCAAAATTACAAGGATGTAAAGTAGCTCTTTCATTTACAGCAATAACCAGACAATATTTGAATCTCAAACTTTTACTTAGCAAATGTATCTATCCATCACCTGGGTAACATTTCAAACAATATGGTTTACACCATCATTGCTAGCTACTTGGTTAGTTTCTCCCACAATGCATTAAACTAAGGCAGTTCTGCATCAAGTTGTATTATTGTTTGGGAAATACACGACTGTTTGATTATCACCATTCTTTAAAATGCCTTATTTTAATTCAGAACAACACACATGTAAGAAAATGATGACTAATGTATCAAGCGAGTCAAGCTTTCAGCAACTTCAAATAAGATTTAGAAGCAAAAGCAGAAGTGTATACTCACAGGGCCAGACTACTCAGAGTATAGCGAACATGCTCACACTCAGGAGGGAATGATGCTACACCCTGGACAAAAGAGCATAGGGCACTCCGCAACACTTGGAGCTGGGGAAGAGGCACTTGCCATCGTCCAGTATGCTCCACTACCAACTAAATAGGAAAAAGAGAGCGAGAAGAGAAATAATAAAGAAAAAAAACGGTTAATGAAGATATCACTGTCACCATGTGCTCTTAGAAACAGAAAACATTACTGTCAAGGAATGTTATGGCGTTTGTTTATGATCACGTAAATCATTAGCATTTAACGACACGACTTGGTGATAGAAGTTAGAACATCCAACAAACTTCGGTACACATTCATAGAAAGTTTATATTTAGATAATAGGGGATGGATTAACTAACCTTCCAACCATTCCAGAGGAAGTTAAAAGCTGCTTAGCAACTTTTGAATACAAATCAGGCGATTTAAAACCAGCCTCTGCAGACACTAGCTAATGAGATTTTAACCACTGCTAACACTGACAGCATAGAGTAATTGTATACATTAACACTCTATTATTATATATAGTGATTTCCCAGACTGAGTTTCTGTTTTATTTTTCTAATTCATAAACTCGCTGGTAAATCAACTCTGATTAAGAGTGCAGGAGCTGATCTTTCGCAGCCTGCTTGTTTTGGAATGCAACTTAGGAATGCTAACCGTTAGCCATTTAGCAGGCTAATGAAGCTAATTTTAACATACTGACAACCCCCGTTTAAGAAATAGTGATTAGAGATTAACCATAACCCTACTGAAATCAATCCCTACATTTTTTGAAGACGCATGTAGATATGAAGGTAAAATACAAGAAGATTTGGGCTTACGGTGTCTGTATACTGGGGGAGGGGAATCTGCTGACATGCTGCTAACACTGGTTAGCACATCACTGCTTGCTTTTTATAAATAGCGTGCAAACACCTTCGTCCAGCCTGTCATCTTACCTCACAAAACCGTTCACAGTACGTCTTACTCTGGAGCCCGCGTTCGTCGCTTGCACTAATCTTCAACAAAGTCTCCAGTTCTTTCTTAAACCTGTCTAACTCCAATTCACTCTCTTCTTCCGCCATACTGCTTGTCTAAACCAGCGCGTACAACAGAGACCACGAATGTTACCGTAAGGGTAAGGACCGCCCATTGAAACACCCTGATTGGTGGAATGCCCCGTCAATTGTGAGGTAACCGTGAAGTGTTTCTTTTGTGATTGGATGAGGACTCCACCAGTCAAACGGTAGTCCAAACGTAGCCTCACCCTGAACATTTGATTGGTTAGACAGCAACAGCAATATTTTCTGTCTCGTAATGAACACGCCCAAAACAAACAAGTTGTCAATTCACTTTAATTGTCTGCTAAATGAACAAAGTTTTCCAAACATTGGTATTTCCATCTTTTAGTCTTGATGCATCTAGCTTTTTTAAAGTATGTAAAAGCATAAACTATCTAAACTGTGTTGTTGAATTTAAGTGTAACCTGGTAATAACCAGCAACCAATGAGAACAAACCAGTGATTAATGTAATTTATAATCACCCAATCACCGATGAAGACTCATTTACACAGGAGAAGATATGCTACACGCTATTGGAGCAAAAGTATTTAAGGGATCGCACGAGAGTGTTTGTCAGTATGGCTACTTCCTAAAGGAGTTGATTTCTTGCACGTAATTTTGTTTTAATGTGTCTTGGTTTTTAGTGCTTTGTTTACTGTGAGAGAAATCAGTTGCAAGCTCATCTGTAGGTCACAGGTAAGTCTTGCATAGACAATTTTAAGGTTGACAAACTTTGGGTAAATCGTTATTTTGATGTTAGCCCATATAAATCTTGCTGGACACACACAAACAACGTGAAGAAGATTCAGAAACGTTAATGGTTTTACGTTCAAACAAATAGTTTTCCCTGGAGTAAGCTTGTTTTAACTGGTTGACCATCCTGGTTTTAGAGGTTGTCTAGGCTAGTTTCCATTCTGCAAAATGACAAGTTAAAACCAACTTCATCGGCCTGGTTTAAGCTGGACCTTGCTGGTTTGGGCTGTTTTTCCTAGCTTTATTTCAAAAACTCTATGTAATCAAACTATTATACATTGTGAAAACTCTAGTGTGTTATCCACAGCCTTGTTTAAATCGGTGTAAAACTATGTATGCTGCACACACTGATTTAATATCTACATCAGGGTTGTCCAGATTGTTCTTGTAGGGTTCTGTTTGGCTTCAAATAAAACTCCCCAATCCAGGTCTCCAGGCTACTTTTGAAACTAACAAGTGTTTCAAAGCTTGGCCCTCCATGAACAATTTTGGACACCTAGTCTATAGTGTAGTAACTCTAAATTTTCACACCGAAATCAAACAAAATTCCCTTGCATTTGTTGTGTTTTATGAATTAACATGTTCATACAACATGAATTAATCATGTTCTCATCTTTGTTTTTTATTTTAATATTTCAGAGTGTTTCATAACCTCACTGGCGAAATAAGTGGTGTACCAAAGCTGATTTCTTGTAGTAGTATTATTATTATTATTTAGCCCTGCAGAATTTAGCTTCAACCCTGAGCCACCTAATCAAGTGTTTAAATTCCTATCCAAGCTAGATCTGTGGCTCCACACTGGGGAAAAACATTGGCTCAACTTTAAAATTAAGACAAATGTTTCTTTTCAGTTTACTCCACTTCTAAACCCAATTACTGCACTAAGCTTTGAATTTGAAATTGCATCAGAAATTCTTGCACTTGTTCTAAACCTTTTATGTATACTTTTTTTTCAGTTTCCCCTTCGTTTATTGGCTTTTCACTTTTTTTGCAGACATGTCTACTGGCTTGCAGCTCCTTGGAACAACACTAGGCACTCTTGGCTGGCTGGGCATAATTATATCATGTGCAATCCCTCTATGGCGTGTGACTGCCTTCATTGGAAACAACATTGTGACTGCACAGACGATGTGGGAAGGGCTGTGGATGAGCTGTGTGGTGCAGAGTACAGGCCAAATGCAGTGTAAAGTGTATGACTCCATGCTGGCTCTTGCCCAAGATCTGCAGGCCTCTCGAGCTATCCTTGTCATTTCTGCTATTGTTGGTTTAATTGCCATGTTTGCAAGTTTTGCTGGTGGTAAATGTACTAATTGCCTGGCGGATAACTCCGCAAAGGCTCTGGTTGCTACAACAGGAGGCGTTGCCTTCATAATTGCAGGGATCTTGGGTTTGGTGCCACCTAGCTGGACCGCTAATACAATCATCAGAGACTTTTACAATCCTCTCGTAGCTGAAGCACAGAAGAGGGAGTTTGGAGCAGCCATCTTCATCTGCTGGGGGGCAGCAGTGCTCCTGGTTATTGGTGGAGGTCTCCTCTGCAGCTCTTACCCAAAAGGAAGAACCTCCAGCAGGGGTCGGTATACACCAGCTTCTCAAAATGGAAGAGAGCGCTCGGAGTATGTGTGACTGAAGGATGTCTGTTTGAAGAAATTATAGATTTGTTTTAGGTTTTTATCTATTTAAATGTCTGTCTGAGATCGTCTTTGTAAAGCAGAGATGAAGTGATCAATTGAGCTAATAAAACACATTTTATTCAACAGAGGGCAGTGTTTCATAACTTTAATTTTATACCTGTTTGAGGATGTACCCTTTGCAAACCAAAGAAGGCAATCTGCTGAAGTATGTTGAGCTAATTATGGGATGTTCTACCAGAAACCTTTTTAACTTAAAACAAATAATAATAAAAGAAAGTGATATGGCCTGACCTTTTTTTAAATTTGTCCTCAAAATACAAATATACAATTATACTTTTCAATAAATGCATATTTGATGTCACTTTTTAGAACGAGTTATTTAGTGGTGGAAGTATTGAGAACTCACAAGTGCTGTTACCTGCATAAACGTGTAGTGTTATACAGGTATAGGATCTGCTTTATTACTCGAAGTACGGATGACAAGTAGGCCTGTCAAAAGTGCTCAAGTGTACAGAATATTATGCTGTAAAAAGCAGACTCATTTAGGGGAGAATGGGGTAATGTGTGACACCCCCCCTGTATCTAGGCAACAGATTTTATATATAACTCTAACAACTTTTTGTTGCCCCTTCCATTTCCCTACTACCATGAAGACATGAATTCCTGGTGCTGTAGAAATTTTTTATTACAATTGTTAGATGATTGCTCTTTGCTCTTGGAGCGGTTTGCTCAGTGGTGTAGCGGACGGGCCCGCAGGGCACGCACCGCGGGGGGGCCTCGCGTCGACGCGATTTTCAGTCATTGAAAATCCGGCAACCGCAATAATCAAACTCTTGGAAACAACTGTGGTCGGAACCAAAGTTCACAGGTCTGTGTTCTCTGAACACCTCTCAAGCGGTGGACTACTTCATTCTGATTGCTTGCCCGCAATGTTGCCAACTTCGCGTCTAGATTTAGCGACTTTTCAGACCCCCCAGCGACAAATCTAGCGACTTTTTTGTGTGTTATTGGAGATTTTTTTAGACTGTCATTTGTCCATACTGTATCGTCCCTACTCTTCTCAACGAGCTGCGTGTGATGCCGCCGGCCCCTCCCCCGCCTCACAGCACTGACAGGCGGCCCAGTCAGTCCTCATACGGCAGCCTTTCCCACCTGCAGCCCGAGAGCAAATCACCCCTCTTCGTACTGACGACAAATGATTTAGCACAGGCATAATGTCTGATTTCTTAAGTTGTGGTTGAGCTTGTTTGACATCGACACAACTTGGCTGATTGGATGAGCTAATTGCCTTTCTGATATTATTGATCTTATCAGTAAAGAAATGAGCAAACTCATTACATTTGCTTTCAGAGAGTAGCTAACTGGGAATCCGACTAGGGGAGTTTGTGAGTTTCTCTATACTGTTGCAAAGAGTGTACGAGCATTATTTACGTTGTTGTTTATAAGGTTTGAAAAGAAAGTCTGTCTAGCAGTTTTTAGTTCCACATTAAAAGCATGAAGACTGTCTTTATAGATATTATAATGGACTACTAGTTTCGTCTTACTCCACATACGCTTAGCTTTTCTGCATTGTCTTTTCATCATTTGGACTGCTCTTGAGTTTCTCCAAGGGACTCTCTCTTTGCCAGTTCTCTTCCTAACTTTAAAAGGAGCAATGTCATTTATGACATTCTCAATTTTAGAATTAAACAAATTAAGAAGAGAATCAACAGAGTCTGCAGATATACTTGGTGCAAGCGATATGGCCTTCATAAACTGTTCACTAGTGTTCTCATTTATGCATCTCTTTCTGACAGAGACAGATCTGTCTTTAATAGCTGGAGTGATCAATATATCAAAGAAAATACAGAAATTATCAGATAGTGCCACATCCTTAACAACAGTTGATGAAATGTGTAAACCCTTAGTTATAAGTAGATCAAGGGTGTGTCCACGATTGTGTGTGGGTCCTTGAACATGCTGAGTCAGATCAAAAGTGTTAAAAACAGTCATCAGTTCTTTTACAGCATTGATTTCTGGATTATCAATGTGAATATAAAAATCCCCAGCAATACTTAAATAATCAAATTCAGAGGTTACTATTGATAACATCAGGTTTTCGCCAAATATGATCTGATCCTAGATTAACATCTTTATCCTGGAAGATCATTTTTGTTGGAAATTTTAATCCAAACCTATTCCCTACCCCTAAACCCAACCATAACTGTAAATTACTCTCAAAATCAGAGGCGAATAATAGTTGGATAACAATCAAAGATCAAAGATGTTCAAAGATTAACATATATGTAACTTAGGAACATGTGGGTGAAATTAGGTTGGTGACGAGGTACATGCACAATCTTTGAGAAGAATCCAAGGAAACACAAAAGAGTGGGAGTTGTAGGGTATGACAGTAGACGTTCTAATCCAGGTGGGTCTAGTTCTGTGTGCGTCCTAGGCTGGTATATCTGGTTCTGATTGTCCTTGACCCCCATACTATGCTGGCTCTAAGGGCCCTGTGTCCTGACCTCCGGATTTTGTTCTAATCTAACTGGTTCTATCTGTCATTAGTATGTAAATTAATATAGTTTCAATTAGATTGTTGTATTTGATTTTGTTCAGAGTTACTTTCAATTGTAGAAAAACAAATGTGCTTAATTGACCAATCTCCAATTGACTAGTCAGACATTAGTTCCAAAATGTGTGGTTGTCAAGCTACCTGTCATGATTTAGACTCTTACAACATGCGTTTTTATGGTAGTTTTAAAGTGGAAAAAGTAAGTGGATCAGTTTACCCCCGGCTGGTTCATTTTACCCCTTTGATTTTTCTGGTCTGTCTCAGTTTACCCTGAAGCTGGGGTAAAGTAAGACACAAAACAACTTTTTTTTTTTTAAAAAACAATCACATTTTTACTTTCCTTTATCCTAAATACAGTCTGATGAATTCCATTGCTAGAAAACTTTCTGAATTTATGAGAAATGTGTACATTTTACTGATATATAATTTTAGCTTGCTTACAGGGGAGTAAATGTAAAAAGTGTCTCACTTTACACCGCTCTCCCCTACGTGTGTGTTTGTGTGTGTGTTTGTGTGTGTGTGTGTGTGTGTGTAATCAAAACATTGCTGTAGTGCATTTAGATTTTGCCCAGCAGGTAAACAATTTCTTAAGGTGTTAATATTGGTTTAGATTTAAGGTCGTGATGTTGGATGACCAACATTTAACGTACATCCAGGGTTTAACAATGTTATTTTGATGCCAAAAAATGATGTCAGACATTTTTTTTTTTTTTTTGGGTATTAAGAAAGTGACAAGGCATCTTAAACCAATGTCATACTTCAAATACTGACTGACATTTATTTGTCAGGTATGGCAACCAAAATCCAACATCTTATAGGCTGTCCACACAACGTCAAGCTGTAACCTCATTAGATGCTGATATTTGGTTTATTTTTAGGTTGGACATTGGTCATTGATGTTGGGTTCTGATGTCAACCCATTTTTCATTTCCAAACAAAATACTATGTCCCCACGACATTGGGGTACAACGTCAATCTGCCGTCATGTTGACCTCTTGTGCCTGCATTTTGTTTCAGGCCATTTCAGTCATCATACAGTAAACATTCATCATCTCATCAGTGACATGCAACTAAACAGTCTATGGGTTGTGTAAAGATTTTGGACCCTTTAATGCTTCCAAACAGTTTGCCACATTTACAAATCGTCCATGTCTTGAGGTAGTTTAATATAATGGAGTTTATCTTCTGTGTGCGATTTAATTAAACTGGAATCACAGGACTGAGTTTTCTAATCTCCATAGACAGACAGGTTGAAGTAGTGGAGTAAAAGTACCAATACAGCAATGTACTCAATGGAGAGTAAAATATACATTTTAAAATATACCTAGTAAATTACAATTTATGAGGAAAATCTACCTAATTACAGTAGTTTAAGTATTTGGAATTTGTTACTTTTCACCACTGTTCATAGTCTTAAATTTAATGTTTATGTGATAGGACTGACAGAAATAGGGACAATTGTAAAATACTTATTTGTACATAATTTATAATTAGTTTTATTTTTTTTTAAATCAATTGATGCGAGTGATAAACTTAAACTTGCTATTTCTGAATAGTTTTTCCCCTAATTAACAGTTTTTTTTATCATAACAAAACTGTTAAAGCCATATGTTCAATTGGGCTAAAGGCAACAACAGGGTTTGTAAATTTAATGGTGCTAATTTAATAAAGTGTTAATGTGTTTTTAAAAAAATAAAAAATCAGAGAACAAATGAATGACACTCTTTTACAGAACAACTCACAGAAATCCACCATCAGTCCATTTTAGAAAATTTAAATACTATTTATTCACTGTATTTGTTTATATTTCAAGGACAGATAAGGTACATTTCTGACAGAATGTCTCTTCTATTAATCAGGGTTTTTTGTTGTTGTTTTTTTTTCTAGCTGCAATGACAAACTGTATCAGCTGCATCACATTAGCGTTTTCTAACTTTATTTGGTCGTAAGCTTTTTAGCCTTTTCCAGCTATAATGATAAATTCAAAATATCATAGCAGCTTTTTCAGTTTTTCTCTTCGTGTGATGCACTCCGCTTACACGTATGATATGCACTATTTCTCACATACTGTATCACACACATACACACACACACACACACACACACACACACACACACACACACACACACACACATACATATATATATATATATACAGCTGAGGTCACCTTGAACAAGACACTGAGCCCTCAATTGCTCTCCGTCCCCAAGCACTGCTCTTGGTAAGGAATTTGGATGGATTAAGTGTAGAAGACCAATTTCAAGTAGTAACAATACTTGACTCAGTCATGTTGTCTTTAGGTGCGGCTGTGAAATCTGTACCACAAAATTGGACATCCATTATCATTATGTATAACATTCTAGTTGGAAGCAAACAGAAGCAAGGTAAACTGCACAAAGTCGTCAGGTTGCTGTTCTCACAATACACTAGGTTACATTAGGTTTTATGGTTGTCTGCTCTGCAGAGTCCCCTTTTCATGCAAAATGTAGCACCAATGCTAAGTAAACATACATGAAGGCTAACCAATCTCTTCATAATTACTAGTATTAAGGATTACTTATCTTACTATTGGTAGACGAAAGAGTCCATATGACTTACCACTGGAAAATAATGCACCTCTCAGCCAATAATGGCCACTCTAGAATCAAAATGGCAAATTTATTTAATGTTTTTTGTTTTGAGAAAATGAAAGTAAACATTTTTATTGTTTAACTTGTGTGATGATCATGTTGAGCAACTGGTGATCAATTGTAGAATAGGAGCAGGAGATGGCAACTGATAAGCATTTCATTAACATCAAATTATAACAGCTGATGACCGGGCCAACTTCTTTTACTTTAAAGGGCACCATTTTCCCCCCATTCATAAGATGTAAGATAAGCCTTTGGTGTCACCAGAATGTGTAAAATTTCAGCTCAAAATACCCATCAGATAATTTACTTCAGCCTCCTGAATCTGCCCACTTTGCTGAGTACAGTGTAGCTGTTTTTGTAGCCTGTAGCTTTAAATGTAATTGAGCTGCTTCTCCCCACTGACTGCTCCCACGTGCATGTCTGCTTTTCCTGTGTTATATGTCAGGTAAACAGAAGTCAGTGACAGACAGACATGGATGAAGCTGAAATGCAGCTCATTAGTCAAAAATACCAAGTAAGTTTATTTCATGTATTTGTGGTGGAGTTTATTCAAGCCTTTCTGAAACGATGAGTCACACAAATGTTGTTTGTAATATACACAGACACAGACACACACACACACACACACACACACACACACACACACACACACACACACACACACACACACACACACACATATATACATGGTGATTATAGCGGTTAACAATTAGCAATTTTGCTTTCTTAATTAAAACATGCTCTGTTTTAAAAATGTTTTAAAATGATAAATCTTAGAAAAATTAGTGTTGTAACAGATATTTTAATCTCAGTTTCTTTGCGAAAAAAAAAAAATTCTGTGGACGTGTATGTTATTATAGAAACATGGTGCCAATTAATTCAGTAGGTGGGGAAACCCAGGCTGATCTCACGAGGAAACATAAGTATTGTACGTCTTGTCAGCTTAGTGGGTAATTTGTAACAGCTTACAAAAGTTGATTTTCATAATAGGTGCCCTTTAAGGGTAGAATATTAAACAGTATAAAATGTTTAAACTAAGAATGTTCAGTGTTATTCCCACTCTGCTGAATCCAAAAATTGATTTCCATTAACTTTGAGACTGCTATGCTGATTTCATTTCTTCCATCATATTTTCAACACCCTCGTCATTTATTCTTAGCATTAGCTAATATGCTTTAGCTAAAGGTTGCAGGTTTGTCTTTCATAAGCTTTGCTATAGGCTATACTTTAGTTTGTTCAGGATTTGAGCTAAACTCCTAAAGAAAATCTGTGTCACAGTCGAGGACTTGTGATTTTGTTGGATTTGTGTGCAAAAGGCACAATTACTCAGTTACAGACTATACTGCTTTTCAGTAAAGAACTGTCAACATCTCTGCGTGGTCTACAAAATATTTCACAACCAACCAAACTCAAGGAGTGACAACATAAGATCATCCATAATACAGGAGTTATTCCTGTTAAAAAAAAAAAAAAAAAAAAAAGTAGCTTCAAGTTATCTGTGTGTTATTTGCAATGAATAAAATAATATGAATGAGTAAATGGCTGTTTGAAGAAGCCATGCTTTCTGATGTTCTTTATCACAGGTATTTGATTTTTGAGTTTATCACTCATAAACACAACTTCCTTTAAGCATTCATGTGTTCAGAACTCAAAATTGCTATATCTCCAGCTTAAAGGGCATTTAATCACTTTGGAGTAAAATGAAAAAAAAAAAAAGCATGATGATGAATTTGTAATCACATTCTTTGCTAGCCCCAATATGAAATGCATTTCACATTTTTTACAACTTTTTATAAACTAAAACATGTAGAGAATAGCAAAGATCATTTTTTATTATTTTATTTTCTTTATTTTGTCAGAATACACAGCGACTTGAATAGCTGCTACGCTCTCAGAAAAAAAATAAAATAAAAATCTGTCACTGAGGCAGTACCAATTTCAGTATACATTTTTGTTCTTTTTTAGATACTAATGTGTATCTTTACAGTCCATGTGAATTGGTAGCTGTTGAGACTTTTATTTCAGTATGTTGATGTATTTCCAGTTGAAATGGAATATCAAGTAGGGTGCAGGGCTTTCTTTTTGCGCATCATTCCCTTATAGCAGGGGTGTCCAAACTTGGCCATAGAGGGCTGATGTACTGCTGAGTTTAGCTCCAACTTAACACACCTGCCAGGATGTTTCTATATCTAGTAAGAACTTAATTAGTTGGTTCAGATGTGTTTGATTAAGGTTGGAGCTAAACTCAATAGGACACTGGCCCTCCAGGATCGAGTTTGGACACCCCTGCCTTTTAGCATACTAATAACTTTAGTTGTATGGTTAACATGGAGCCCTTTAAAATTCATAAAGGGACAGCACAATTTACATTTACAAAATTCAATTTGTACATTTATACAATTTGTGAATTCACAAGTAAAAATCATAAATATTTTCACCAAATGAATTAGATTCATGTATTTATGAATCGTGTTTTGAATTCACAAATTGGATTTGCATATTTATGAATCGTGTTTTGAGCTTGCAAATTAATTTAGCATATTTATGAATCGTGTTTTTAAACTTACGAATTGGATTTGTGTATTTTTGAATCATGTTTATAATTCATGAATTGCATTTGTGTATTTTTTAATCGTGTTTTGAATTTACAAATTGAATTTGCATATTTTTATAAATTTTATATTTACAATTAGATTTTTGTATTTTTAAGTTGGATTTGAGTATTTATGACTCGTGTATTGAACTTACGAAATGGATTTGTGTATTTTTGAATCGTGTTTATAATTTATGGATTGTATTTGTGTATTTTTTAATCGTGTCTATAATTCATGAATTATATTTGTGTATTTTTGAATTGTTTTATAATTCATGAATTGGATTTTTGAATTGTGTTTTGAATTTACAAATTGAATTTGCATATTTTTTTATCGTTTTTTAAAAATATATAGCCTATGATTTTGGCATTTTTAAAAATCTTTTTTTTTTGAGTTTACGAATTGGATTTAAATATAAATCATGTTTTGAACTTATGAAATTAATTTGCATATTTATGAGTCATGTTTTGAACTTACAAATTTAATTAGCATGTTTATGAATCGTGTTTTGAACTTAAAAATTGGATTTGTGTGCGGCAGAATAGAGAGGGCGGCATCCGCGACACTACCCTCACCACCCGCGCGACCGCCCCCTATATCCGCAACTGCGTAGGGCGGCCGAATAGAGAGGGCGGCGTCCCCGACACTACCCTCACCACCCGCGCCCTATATCCGCATAGGGCGGCCAAATAGAGAGGGCGGCATCCGCAACACTACCCTCACCACCCGCGCCCTCAGTTATATCCGCGTCTAGTGAGGTATAATACCCTGTGCTTTCACTTTAGGGTTGAGAGCGGCGCGACCGTCCTATGCCTAGAGCGGCAGTTCAGCTTGCATACAGGTGTATTGAGTAGGCTAAATTGTCATTGTATGGGTGTTTCCCAATGATAGGTTGCAGCTGGAAGGGTTTCCACTGCGTAAAACATATGCTGAATAAGTTGGTGGTTCATTCGCTGTGGCGACTCCTGATTAATAAAGAGACTGAGCAGAAAATAAATAAATAAATTTTACAATTGGATTTGTGTATTTTTGAATCATTTTTTGAATTTCTGAATTTAATTTGCATATTTTTTAATAGTTTGTAATATTTACAAATTTGATTTGTGTATTTTATATATATATATTTGGATTTGTATATTTTTTAATCATGTTTTGAACTTAAAAATTTGATTTTGTAAATGTGAATTGTGTTGTGGATGTATGATTTTTATTTTGTAAATTAAATTATTATTGATAATAAAGTATTATTTTTGAGACTGATCTGGCTCCATAAGTTAGATTACTTAACTGACGTCAACAGAGAGGAACCCCCACTCAATATGCGGAAGCAAATAGTCAGATTTACTAACTTGCATGATTTAATTGTACACCATAGTAAAATTTGATTTCACTCAGGCTTTAAGGTATGGACACTTTAAGTACTAATACATAACTTCAAAGTACCAATATAGACCCTTTAGGTACTAACATGTACCCTTTACATAAAAAGTGTGACTTTTGAAAGGGTACCATCTCAGTGACATTTTTTTTTTCTTTGTACATACTGAGAGTGCATAATGAAGGGAAATACTGATGGCTTAGTTATGACATGTCAGCAGGGGGACACTGGACCATGCTAACCAGCCAAATTTTTACCCCTTGGTGTAAACTTGACAGATTTACATAACATTGTGTACCAGACACTTATTATTATTTTTTTTATAAAATTCTCCATTTCAAAATACTAAAATCTTTAAGTGGACAAATGGGTTGATTTACTCACAGTCATGTACAAAAGTATATACACGCACTATGTAAACAACAAGTAGGTGTGATTTCACCAAGCAGGACACAACATCTGTACTGATCCCGGAACATCATTCCAATCAGCCACTCAGATTTGAGGGATAAGTTTACAGTTTATGTTAAGTTTAGACCTACAGTTATGGTTGTCATTGTAGTTCAACTAGTAACCCCCTCCCAGACTGGGAATGGTTTAGGGTTAGGTTTAGGGGAAGGGGTTAGGTATGGATTATATTTCCGAAACATTAATGAATTTCCAGGGTCAACATAGATGTTAATCCAGGATCCCAATTTGCTTGGAAAAATCTACCCACCGTAAACAATACACTGATGCAATGTCTCTGAGAGATGTGTAATTCTTGCAGAAGTCCAGTGATTTACAGTATGACACGTCTGTCTTGAAAACCACCAAAACCTACAATCCATTAGCCCATTTCTTCCTCCTTCTCAGGCAATTTCACAAGACAGTGCTGCAACAGAGTGGCAGAAGTTTTTTAAAGGCTTTCTTAAAGTCCTCATTAAAGATGGTGTATATAAGTGGGTTTATAAGAGAATTGAGATACCCAAGCCAGGTGAGAAAATCTGCAAGCACCGCAGAGGTGGTGCAGGTCGGACAAATATTCACAATCACCTCCTTCAGGAAGAACGGTAACCAACACACCACAAAAGCTCCCAGGATTAGTCCTAATGTCAAAGCTGCTCGTCTCTCCCTGGCTCCTGGGTTCCTCCGGACTCTGATGAGATTACCTGATGAGGAAGTAATGCGCACTCTTTCCCCATCTGTCGAAGGATCAGAAAAAGACTTCTCGATTGGGCAGAATGAGTCAGGACTTAAAGCGATGTCTTTATCAGAGCTCATTCCCGGAAGCATCACACTGCTGACGGTCTGTTTGACTAACCGGCTGCTTCCTCTACGGTTACGAAGCATCTCCGCTGCCTTGTAGATCTTGTAGTAAAGAACCAAAATGAGTGCCAAAGGAATGTAAAATGCTCCAAAAGTTGAGTAGACGGTAAAAGCCACATGGTCGTGTTCAATCAAACAGTCCATGGGTTCCCTCTTCCCGTCCTTAAATTCTACTTTAGGGAATTTCCTCCATACTAAAGGTGGAAGGGACACCAGAATGGAAAGTGTCCACAGAGACAAAATGGTTACAATCACTCTTTTATATGTGCGTTTTTGCGAATACGCCACAGCATCAGTGATGGCACGGTATCGATCCAGCGCAATGGCGGCGAGGTGTAAAATTGAGCAGGTGCAGCATGTAACATCGACACCTAACCACAGGTGGCAAACAATGGGGCCGAGGACCCAAGTCTCTTCTGCAATGTACACAATGCTGACGGGCATCACCAGAACAGCGACCAGGAGGTCTGTCACAGCCAGAGAGCAAATGAGGTAGTTGGCGGGTTGGTGGAGCTTGCGGGTGATCAGGATGGCGGTGATGACCAGGGAGTTGATGGCAGTGGTCGCCACAGCCAGGAAGGAGAGAGTCAGAGAAAGGAGGATCTTACTGGGGCTCATCTTGCTGGCCAGAACATCAGAGAGATCCACAGACGTGCAGTTAATGGGATCCATGCTGGAAGAATTTTATGGTTTTGCCCTATAAAAGAAGGATAAAGAGAAAGTATGAGAAAAGTCATTCCTGTTTGAAAAACTTTCATTTACATTGATATGATGAAGTGTAGAAAAAAATGAGACTTTCATTAACAAGTGGTAAATCAGTCAAACCGTGACACATCTCTAGAGGATTTAACCTCATTATTTTCGTGCATTCCTTCAAACGATATCCTAAGAGTTCATTTTAATTAAAACGATAACAGATAAATTACACCATCCAAAAAATGTTCAAAATTCCACAAAAACATATATCTTTTTTAAGACATGAGAAAATAACCAGGCAATATTTCCACAATAAAACAAGGTTATTAATATCAATATGATTAAAATTGTCAAGTTGAAATATAAATATTTAAATAACACTATGGAATAACCTCTACTCTTTTTTTTTTAGTTTATTGTTCACAAGTGGAAATTCATCTTTAATTGGTTTCACCACACAAACAGATCAACGTTCACATTACACACATCACAGAAAAAACAGGCATCACAAATACACTCAACGTTATCACATATATCACATTAAAAACATTTAAACATTAAAAAACTCTATTTTAAAAAGCTTTAATTCTATATATTGTATTGATTATTATAACTTTAAACTTGAAGGTGCAGTAGGGGATTTTCTTCAGAAACATTTTTTGTTGTGGTAGTTGAAAATCTATTCACATTTCAATAGCAATGTTTAAAATAATAATTTAAATGTATTTATACATATTTTTGTATTCTGGTTAAGGCATAAGACTAAAAAATGTTCATCCAATTAAAATTTGTCAGGCTGACGATTCTCATAATTGAGGGATTGTAAGATAATTTTTTATTTTCTTTATTTTGTCAGAATACACAGCGACTTAAATGGCTGCTACACTCTTAGAAAAAAAATGGATAATAGCCCAAACTGTCTGTCAACTATTTTCAATTTCATAAGGGACCTTTTACAGCATCGATAATGTAGAATTTAATTTAGTTTAACAAAAAAACGAGAAAAATAGTGCTGTTCCGCTTAGCCTGCTTTACTGTGGTGGAGTTGGTTTTATATTCACATCACATTGGTTCATTTTTGAACCATGACAATGCATGCTTCCTTTATTGTTTACCATGCTACTTTGAATATTCGACCTGAAATAGCATGTATATGTGGTTGCTTTAGGACAGCATGTGAGAGACCAGTAATCCTTGCATGCATGAAATATTGCACACTATGACAAGTTTTGATTGATAACTACACAACTGAAAACATGCTAGATATAATACAGTTTTTCGTTCAGAATTGTAGTAGCCTATTATAAAGTAGGGTTGCACAGTTTGACGGTACTTCAATAGCACAGCGATACCATGGCTCCAAAATACTGGCTGTGCCACTGTAGTTTGTAAATGGTAGTATCGTCCTTAACGGTTCTACAATATTTAATGTTGCATGTGGAAAAGTCACTAAAATGCTCACTCATTTGTGACGGCAAATAATCAATAGACCACTAGATTTTAGCTTAATTTTAACAGTCTGTTTTAAGGCTGAGAAACTGTGTAGAATTGGTGCTTTTTATGCTATTGTGCGCTTTCTGATGGTTCAAACACAAATCTGAATCAGTTCAATACTGTTCCAGTGAATATTATTTAGCTATAATGACAGTGATAAACTCTTAAACAGAACAACTCACTAAAGTGAAATTTGTAATAACTTTGAATTCTTACCTGATTAGAAATAAAAAAAGAAAACATCAGAAGAGAAAAACATAGAATAGCAAAAGAAAACACTAAGAAAACAATATTTTTTTCACTTCATATTTGGTTGAAAAAAATCTCTGTTACGAATTGTGTTTGGTATCATTTGTATCTTAATTTTATTGTACTTTTTGTTGGTCAATTATCAACAAAAACGAGAAAACAACAACAATTAAATAAGATTTAAAAGTATTTCATATTTTTTTCACCTAATTCAATTATCCTTTAGTAGTGGTGCCATTGTAGCTAGCGATAAAATTGACTTTGCAAGACAAAGTAGTTGTTTTTTTAATGCTAAATGTCATTTCCATCACAGAATTGCTATTAAGAACAATACATTGTTTCGTTGTGAAAAAATTTGATTTTCAAAAATTGATTTTCAGGGATTTTCACTGTTGGACATCGTTAGTGGACAAATGAAAATAATTTTTCAGAGAGTAAGCTAATTTAGTTGAGTGCTAATGTATTTTCCCATAGCTAAGGAAAAACCGTCTGAAAAACATTCATTTCAAACACAAACTCAGGCAGTCTGGTGCAATTTTTTATGGAGATTAAACTTGAGGAGTCTGATTTTTATGCTGTGTGGTTTTTAAGGTGTCAGATTTGTTTGCTCGCCCTCTTTTCCTAATTTACCTGCTCATATTAGCACAAGATGGCTTTCAGGATTACATGCCATATTTAAAAATACATTGGGCACATTACTTAAAAGGTACTTACCACTTTTTTAGTTCTCTCTTTTGGGGCAAAGGAATTATGATCATGCCTGCCAAGCTAGATGAAAGCATCTTAAAATGTTTACTATTTGCGTCACTTCTGGTGAAGCTGTAATCTGGCCTGGCAGTAAGATGCTGATAACACTGAGAGACATTGCTGCCACCCTGTCAATCTAACATGCTCCACACAAGTTTGATGATTCATTTTTCACAGTGCAGTGGAAAACACACCAGTGAACACATCGACTGCTCAAAAACCAAGAAATGGATGGCCAACCATGTCTTTATCGATGCCAAGCCATGCTAGTCAGAGTGATCATATTAAGACCATCCCAGCTTTTTTCCTTTGCCAAGCACACTTCTCACTTCCTACAGTTGGCTACAGCAGGATCAGAATGTTCTGTTCACTTTGCTCTCTAATGATATTTTTAAGATTCAATCATTCATTGACACTACAAATGTATCTTTACATTGCAATGACTATAAACAAAGGGTCTGTTCCAAAACTAGTCAGCTGCCTTGTTGTTTATGTCTTTTAAAGAACACATTGAGCAATTTATAATGCTGCATACAGCCAGCACTTCTTTAAGCCTCAATTCAAAGGCATTACCATGTTGCTAAGTTAAAAAGTTTGTGCTTTTACGCTAGGTTTGATTGTTTAGTTTGAACCCAAGTTCAACAAGCATTTTGGTTTAGTCTACCAGAGTAAAGCTGAGTAGCAGTACAGCAAAGTATAGTGTGTATATGAGTCTATTTCCACTGTCAAAGTTACCACAAAAGCAATCCATTCCACTGTTTTGGCACTTTGCTTGTGATAAGATGCTTACTGTACAAGATGAGACAATACATGAAAATGGATTCACAAGAACGAGACAAGACGGGATTTAACACTATTTTAGGAAATCCTCAATGATAAAATATATGGATGGAAAATATTTGAACTGAACAAAAATCACAAACTGCAAAACAATTTAGCTACTTTTTTCAAATCAACTAGTAAGGAATGTTATTTCTCTTCTATTTTTATGAGTCTAGCAGTAAAGGACGTGAAATTGCGACAAATATTTACCTATACTTACCTACTGACTTGCTTCTCCCCTGTACAATTTCAGTTTTTAGTGTTTAATTTTCACTTTCATTCAGCAACATTTCATTCATGCCTCTGTGACAAACTTTGAGCTACTGGATGCGAGTAAGTAAGGTAAGTAAGGAGAAAGGAAAAAGTTCTTTTAATATAATTTGAAACCGCACACCTAATGAAATGAAACCTTCAGCTTTTCCCAGACAGCATAAACAAGTGTTTGGGGATGATGGTGAAGTGTGTGTGCGTGAACTCAAGAGATGTTTGTGCTCTGTGGTTCTTTAATACTGAATTTGTAATTGCAAAGAATAGTGTCAAACAGCCCTGTGTGTATTGAATATCCTATCACAAACTGCATTTAAAAGTCCTACATGACTGTACTAGTTTGATTGCGGTGTTTACATGTCTGCACTGCACTTACAATGCGACTAAAATAGGAATACTCCACGTCTTAATTCATTTATGATAATTATGTTTTTTAGCTTGTAATCAGTAATGCCCATGGTTAATGTGTGTGTCGCGGCAGCTGTTAAACTGAACAGGGGTCAGGTCACACCCACCCGCCCAACCAAGTGACGTGCAACACAGAGGCCAGTCTGGGTTGACAGGTTTGTGCAAAGTACTCAATTTGCAGTTTAAATCTAATCCTGCCTCCAACGTTAACATTAACGAGGCTTTGTGACATGAGATATCGTCATAAACCTTTTTGGCACCCTTTCCAAAGGGTATCTAGAACAAGAGAATGTACCAAAAGGGTGGAGTTAGACTCGCAGCTAACTGTTATTGGTTTACAGGGAATGGTCACCAGCCCGTGTAACAAGCCTGGGGATTGCAACAAAGGAAGCCTTATTTTAAATTAACAGGTTGATAGGGTGACCCATTCTGAGACATTTTTGTATTGTACTGAACTGAACTGTACCTCTCAGTGAAAATGAGGCATTAGGGTGTTCACATGTGGCAGGTTTGTTTCAGTTAAAATGGATCATGTACTCTGTTAAGTGTAAACATTGCCATCTGAACAGCCTGTGGACACTTTCTCAAAAACAAAAGCTGTCACTGGGGTGGTAAAAGGTACATTTTGTACATCAAAGTCATAGAAAAGACACAGGATGTAATGCCACAAGCCTGGACGCAAAATATCTGAAAATATTGGACCAGTGTGAAGGTAATGTGCATCATTTTGTCGATTAAGAATATACTGTTTATGAAAATACACATGCACACACACACAAGTAAATAATAGCTTTCAAGTATACTTGAGACTGGTCTCAAGTACATTTGTACTTTTTCTTGTACACTTGATCTCAGAATAAATGGACTAGCCACAACCTCAACTGCAGGTCTATTATTAAATTGCTGGTACGTTGTCTGATTTATTTGCTAGCATCATTAGTGTTACTGGATGTGAAAATATTTTATATGCAAAAAAAAAAGCTATATCTAATTCCAGGAGAAAATTTACAAGTA